CACACACACACACACTCACACACTCACACTCACACTCACAAGTCCTCTTTAAACAACATCTCCATTAGAAAATTCTATTCCTCGAAGATAACAAAATATGTTTTGCTAACGTTCCCATTAGCGTAACCATAAATAGTAGCCTAAGTGATGGTTTTTCGTTTTTTTAACCCTTAAGAAAAGTAAAATGTAAAAGTAAGTAGTAGCCATGTTTTTTGGCGGATTGGTTAACATTTGTAAAACCACAGTTTTACTACAAATATCATGGTTAAACTACGGTTAGTGAAGCAAAACCACTTGTGGTTACCACCATGGTTTAATTAAAATAACCAGTGTTGGGGAGTAACTAGTTACATGTAACTAAATTACGTAATTTAATTACAAAATAAATGTAATTAGTTATAGTTACTGAGAAAAAATGTGTAATTAAATTAGGCTACAGTTACTTATGAGAATGTTAAAGATTACAAAGGTGGTTACATCTGAATATTTTCACACATATACAGATTTTATTGATTTCTTTCATAAATTGCACTGATTGCTCTAAAATATGAGACAGCAATGTTTCAGGAGTTTAGGACACGTGCTTATACGTGCATAACTGTTTTATTCCCTATATTTGGGTTTATGTGCATGCTTTATTTTTGTAAGATTAACAGTTTTTTCCAAAGCATTGTTAGATGCCAGTGTTTTCTGTCATAGCTATGCAAATATTTTGATTTCAAAAACAGTATCATTGCTATTAATCTATATCTTATGATTTTAAATCTGTATTTAACCACAGAATGATCTCGAAGTAAACATAGCTGCTAAAGTCTGATTCTGTGGTGGCTGTGCTTTAAAATTAAATTATGATAATCTTAATTCAAGTGAAGAAGGATTCTGAAAGTCTGATAGTAATCAGTGTTGAGTTCTACTGTAACGATAACCCTGCCTGCTTTACATGTTTGGAAATGATTAACTTTTGAAAACATTTGTTACAAATTTAGAAAACTAATCGAATGTAATCAGTTACATTATTTTAATGAAGTAATTGAAATAGTTACACTGCTATTACATTTTAAATACAGTAACTTGTAATCTGTAACCTGTTACATTCCCAAAGTAACCTTCCCAACACTGACAGTAACCATGTTTTTGTTTTTTATAGTAAAACCATGGTTAATTTTCGTAAGGGAAAGTTTATTCATAGTAACGCAGATGTTACAGAAGACATTAGGGGAACATTCTATTTGATAATTTTGCAAACAATGTTATTTTTGAATGTTCTCTAACCGTTCTGAAACAAGTAAACTTTAAAAAATGTTAGATGAACATACAACTAAAACACTACAAAAAAACTTTAATGAACAATGTAGAAGTAACACTTTGTGAGCAACATTAAAGACCAGATAACTTTGAACAAATGTTCTGTTAATGTCGTTTGTTCACAACTTTGAGAGAACCTTGCCAAAATGTTTCCTCTTCGCTGGGCAACAAGAAGAGAATTTCCCGTAAAGATACAAAAACATTTCTGAATGAATGTTCAAAACTTAGAATGTAAATGCAAATGTCTAGGTAACTTGCAAACATTATGAGAACTTTACTTTTGAATGCTCTCTGAATCTTCTAAAAAAGAACGAACATTAGACAACCGTTTCAGGAATCTAACATTCTATTTATTATTTAATAAAGTTCACAGAAATGTTGTTTATACATTGTTTATGGAAGTTTTTTTTTTCTAAAAGTTTTTAGATGGATATTTGTCAAACGTTTTTTAAACATTACTTTATAGTTTCAGAATGTTTAGAGAGAACATTCCAAAAATGACACTGTTTGCAAAATAAACAAATGGAGCATTCCCTTATGTTTTCTATAACATTTGCATAACTAAAAAAAAGTAAAACATTTTAAAAACGGAATCATCAGAAATGACGTTTTCATAACATAATGGGAACGCAAGCAAAACATTTTTATTAGCTGGGATCATTGCAAACCTTTCTTTCATGTTTTTTAATTCAAACATTTCACCTCAAGAAGCATTGTTTCCGGTTTTGGAGGCTAATAATATCAAACACTATTATTGCACGTCTTGTGTTTTGACTGATTGCAATGCAACGTTTTTGACTTGAACGCAAGAGAACTTGAAGTGCATGAATGACATTTGGCGCAAAAGGGTTATGAACTACTTTTATTGACAGTTGTAGCCTCTAACTATGCCTTTAAGGAAAATATAATATGTTTGTGTTCAAATGATTGTCATAAAGTGTCACAATAATGATGGAGCTGTCCGGGGTGCTGAACTGGAGGTCAGTGCTCAGCGGAGATTGGGTGCAAAATCAAATTTAAAAAATACAGTGTATTAGATGCATCATTATCTTTTCAGCTATTAGTGTAAATGATCCTGAAATGAAAGCCTGTTTGATAAATCCTGTAGAGCTGATGACTCAGACCTGCGTGACTTCAGGTGAAAATTAACAGACTATTAACTACGTTTGGAGACTGCGTGGGAGACTGTTCTTGACTAATAGGATCTGTGAGTTAAAGAGTTGAGGATCTGGTAAAGAGCAGACGGCTTCAGGATCATCTCTGCAGGATGCAGTCAGACGGGTTCACCTACTGATCAACAATACATGCATCAGATGAGGTAACAGCACATGATTTAACATAAATCAGTTTAATACTTCGTGTTAGTGGTTTTAAAAAATCCCTAGTCCTTGATGCTTAAAGCTTAAGGCCGGTTATTTACAGTTGCAACATTGACATTAATTTTCAATATCCATCAGTAATATTCTTACAGAATAAAGAGCCTTTCACCTTTTGCTTGGTTGTTTTTTGATAGTGGGCTTTTATCCGGTAACCACTTTCACACTCTTTAGAGTATCACAAGTCGAAAGACTAGAAAAAGAATTGAGAATGTTAGTTTTAGAAGATCATTCTTTAAATAAAAAGAAAACAAGTACATAGAATAGAAAAAGAATAGACAATACTAGTGTGTGAGGCTCTATTTTTTAAATAAGAAAGCAAGTATTGTAAAGAGTGCAAGTGTTAAAGGATCAAGTGTTTGTTTTTTTATAAATAAATAAATAAAAAGAAAACGAGTAGATAGAATAGAAATAGAATAGAGAGTGCTAGCGTTAGAGGGTCAAGTATAGATGTTAGTATACGTAACAGATGTAAGTAATATGTAAGAGATGTAAGTATGGATAGTTTTAACCAAACTAAAAAAAAAATAATGAATTATGCAATACATATTTGTGACCCTGGAGCACAAAACCAGTCATAAGGGTCCATTTTTTGAAATTGAGATTTATGCATCATCTGAAAGCTGAATAAATAATCTTTCCATTGATGTATGGTTTGTTAGGATAGAACAAAATCTGAAAATCTGGAATCTGAGGGTGCAAAGAAATCTAAATATTGAGAAAATCATCTTTAAAGTTGTCCAAATGAAGTTCTTAGCAATGCATATTACTAATCAAAAATTAAGTTTTGATATATTTATGTTAGGAAATTTACAAAATATCTTCATGGAACATGGAAACAATGATTTTTGGCATAAAAGAAAAATGGATAATTTTGACCCATACAATGTATTGTTGGCTATTGCTACAAATATACCCCAGCGACTTAACACTGCTTTTGTGCTGCAGGGACACAATTTTCAGCCATACATAAATGAAATGGGTCAGATTTCTGCATTAAAAAAAAAAAAAAAAAAACATGCATAATTTATTATTAACTATTTGCATCTATTTAATTTTATTTAAATAATCATGTTTCCAAAATGCATTTATACAAATCTGTTTTTTTGAAAACAATGACATTTATTCCGTTTAAAAACATGATTCAAATATGGCTAGCTGTGGATTTATGTATGACTGACAAATATGCATCACACCAAGTTATTATTAGTTTTATGTGAAAACTGTGTATCCAAATGCATGGAAATTTTACATGCAATTCAAATATGTAAATCTTAAATTTAGGCCTAAATGTTTTTTGAGCATTTCCATGAATTGTTCACAAATAAGACCAAGTATTGAATGAAACATGTTCACCTGCGGGATCCAAGAGAGAACAGCGTGCTTCACTCGAACATCACACTTTCTCACAAAATATGATGCATTTTGTAGCATTTATGCTTTACAATCATTTGTGTGGTGAAGTCGTCTTGTATTCAGTAGAAAAGCACCACAAACACATGATTTCTGTCTGAATCTGAGCCAGATTACAACTATTTCTCAGCCTGTTTTCACACACATCACATGGTTTTAAATTATGGCCAGTGACAGAATGTTATGTTCTTTGACATCAAATTCAGAATTTTAACATATTCATCCACTCTTTTGCAGACTGTAAGTTAAGTGATACATTTTGAACATTTTGATAAGTGCATTAAAGCTGATAAGTATACATCATTTGAAAAAAGATTTGTTCTTATTTTGTGGGGGGGGGCGGACAACTACATGTGATGGAATGTTTTTATTGATATTTTTAATCTCTAAGATCTAACCTGTGGAAGCCTGTTTCCAACACAGAATTGTAAAAAATAAAGGTAATTGTGACCTTT